GTGTGTGTGTGTGAGTGTGTTTTAAGTTTTCTCCACAACAGCCCCTATTGAACGAATTTCACACAGTTAGTCCCCGAAGTCCCGGTCCCAAGGTGCCATTTAGTCTCGTTCCCAGGCTGTCCTGGCAGGTAGGTTTTAGGGTTGGTAGGTCGAAGCGTCGCAAGTGGGTAGGAGTCACGTACCGAAGCGTCGCAGTCTGGTAAAAGTCCGTTGGTACCTGCAGAGGAAGTCAAGTCCCGAGTCCAAATTTGCAGCAGTGTCCCAAGAAAGTCCGGATGGAAACACCAATTTTGGCAAGGCAGAGGCCGCGGGTGACCGGTACCGGTCCGAAGCCGGCACGCACAGTCAACCACAACTATATTTAGCTGCTACAGTGCCAAGCCAAGGCAGTTGTTCAATCGTGAAGTTGGGGAAGTGCTACTGGCTGCTTTTGCAATAGTGCGACCTGGACGAAGGACGAGCGCCGGAGGAGGAGCAGGCGCCCTGGCTACAAGTGTCAGCCATAGCTTGTAGAGTAGTAGTGTGGCATACTGCGCATCCACACGGACCTGCAAGGCCCGACCAAACAAGGAAAGCAAGGGCCCTACAAGCCCTGTGTCGTTTTCATCCTGAAAGCCTGAAAACAAGGGCCTGCAGGCCCTGTGTTTTTTTCAGCCTGAAAGCCTGAAAACAAGGGCCTACAGGCCCTGTGTCGTTTCAGCCTGAAAGCCTGAAAACGAGGGCCTACAGGCCCTGCCTAAACGCCTGAAAACGAGGGCCATTTTCAGGCCCTCAGAAAGTCGACCTGCCCTGAAACGCACCAGACCAGGGTTTTTAGCACAGGCCATTTTTGGCCTGTTTTCAAGACAACCTTTGTTTGAACTTCAACACCAGGGTCTGGCACGTTTTGGCATTGGCAAGAGCAGCCTCCTGGAGCACTATCTAAGACTGGCTTGCCCTTCAGGCTGCAGGCAGTCACGAGGCAGTCACGAGGTAGCTCATAGGAACTTCCCAGGCACTTCACGTGCAGGAGGCAGGAGGTAGGAGGCAGTCTTCAGGATTCGGCAGCAGCACTCTGGAGGAGTGCTGCAGTAGTAGTAGTAGCGTTAGCAGTAGTCTTCAGCGCTGGCGCTATTAGGAGCTAGAGTAGCGTTGGAGAGAGAGAGATGGTTGGCGGAGGCCAGGGAGAGTTTCCTGTGGCGCCATAGCTCCAGCTTCGTCTTCGATGTACCGCAACAAGGCGCCACCTTCACAGGTTAGTACCGGACTGAGAGAGAGAGAGAGAGAGAGAGAGAGAGAGAGAGAGAGAGAGAGAGAGAGAGAGAGAGAGAGAGAGAGTTCTTGTTCTTCCTCTTCTAAGTCCGCCATCTCTCCCTCACCCTCTCGCTACCTAACTTCTCAGTACCTGCAGAATACGAGAGAGAGAGAGATTGGTGACTTTGGGACTTGACGACATTTGGATCCAGACTCGACATTGGGATGCAGACATTTGACGAGGGGATTATTTGGGACCTGTACCGAAGACTTGGTGTTGACGACATTCCCATATTCCCCTCTTCTTCGTCTAACCCCCCTCTTCTTCGTCTCTGTATGGTTGGGGACTGGCGCATTCTTTCTGTGTGAGTGCCAGGCCCCTTCACACCATGGAATGATGATGATGTCTGTTTGGGCTGCATTGCAAGATTGATTGTTCGGATCATTGTTGGTATTTAAGCCTTCCGCTGCGCTATCTTGTACTATGTGAGAGAGGTCGGTTCTTGTTCTGGTCTGCACCGTTGCGGTATGCGACAAGTAGGGAGGAGGAAGATGGAGGCCATTGCCACCCAAGGTTGAAGAGACACATCGCAAGTGTATTCAGGGTAGATCCCAGGGCAAGAGATAGAGAGAGAGCTTGAGAGCAGGAAGGCAAAGAGGACGAAGAGAGAGAGAGAGAGAGAGAGAGAGAGAGAGAGAGAGAGAGAGAGAGAGAGAGAGAGAGAGAGAGAGAGAGAGAGGTGTCGGACGTCGAGAGAGGGGAAGTCGAGTACATACCTGAGCCGGGATTGCAGTGTTGAGTTGCGGTGGTTGCCGCTGGATGGTGGAGCCGCAAAGGAGTAGTAGTTGAACATGCCACGGGTTTTTGCATTGTAAAATGCAAGTATATCTGCGTGGTCCATCGGGATCATAATTCTTATTGGCATAGGAAGGATATAACCTTTGTAAGTGCGTCTTACAAATCCATACTTCTTAAGTCGTTCTACAAGCTCCTTGATAGGGGCTCGGCAGAGAATGAGTCTCGGGATACAATGGCCATATTTTTAGGTAATCCACATTGGTAGATTTTTAAACGAGGACCTACTACAATTGCAGAACCTCCGGAATAATCTACACGTTTACCAAGTCAATTTTGTCGAAATCTTCCCTGTTTACCACTAATTACATCCGATAATGACTTATATGGTCTATTATTGCTATCTCGCATAGGAGGTCCATGTACTCAGGCCTTGTACACACCGCCCGTCACACCATGGGAATTTCTTTTGCCCGAAATCGTCTCTATGATAAACCAATGACTTTGAGGGGAAGTCGAGTACATACCTGACCCGGGATTGCAGTGTTGAGTTGTGGCGGTTGCCGCTGGACGGTTGAATTCATGTGTTCTCTCTCCAGCGTGGTGTGAATTTTCATGTGAACGCTCTCATCTTGCATGTCCGAAGTGGTTTGATATTGCGAGGTCCGTCGCACTGGTATCGGAGCTGGAGCTCGTTGAACTGCGGTGGTGGAAGAAAGCCAGCAAGGCATAAGGCCAACAGGTGAGCGAAGTATTGGGGTTTGACCGGTGGAGGCAGGCTGAAGGAGGGGCGAGAATTAGGGTTGGGAGCAAGATTTACGTACCTGTAAGAGGTAAGGTACATCGATCTGAAGACCCCCGTGAAGTGCTTCTGCCCTTAGCCCTGCCTGCTGAAATTATTTTTGTTTTTTGAATCTCTCCATGCACTTTCTTGGTGACGGCTGCTGCAAGTCAATCGTGTTGATGTCATCTCTTTGCTTTGAGTCAGCAGTCCTGTGAATGTTTTAGGTCTAGGGTAGGATCTCGGCAGCTGGAGGCACTACCTGCGCAGTAGGGAGCACGGGCATGAGCAGCGGGCGCTCGTAAAACAACCCGGCTAGCCCAACGACCGGTACTGACCGGCGTGCAACCGAACCAGGCAGAGCAGTGAGGAGCTCGTAAGTCTTGAGAGCGTTCCTACCTACTTTTGATTGTATCGTTAAATAATTATTGAGGTCCTTGCTGGCAGACCTAAAACAGCTGGTTGGCCAGCAGTTTGTGGAGGATCTGTAGTGACAGGCGTGGGGAAAGGGAAGTAGACCTGTCATACTTACCATGGATGACTATCCGATGTTCTCCCTTCTCACCCTCTCTATGTTGTGGGGACCGCTGGTCTGCTGTTACTTTCCGCTTGGGTTCTTCCGGATGTGTAGTATGGCCGTGACCACTAAATCCGGAATAGTGAACCGTCTGTTGACTACAGAGGAAGAGCAGAGGCCGGAGGAGATCCTGAAGCAGAAGGAGGAAAATGAGAAGAAAGAGAAAAAGGAGGAGAAAGAAAAGGAGAAGAAGAGATTGGAGGAGCAGAAGAGGATGTTGGAGGAGAATTTGAAGGAAGAAGAAGAAGAAGAAGAAGAAGAAGAAGAAGAAGAAGAAGAAGAAGAAGAAAAGGAGGAGGAGAAGCTGGAGAGATTGAAGAGCGGGGAAATCATAATAACAATCCCAAGAGACCTGGGACAAACGAGTGAGGACCGCCCAAGGTATAGATATGAGGAGGAGATGGAATGGGCAACGACTTTCTACTTACCAGGGAATCAAATGTTGGAGGAACTGCAGGGAGATGTAGCCCACTATGAGGAAGAGTTGAAGGTGTTTGATGGGGAAGATGCGCAGATGGCCCATGTAGAGGCCCATGTGGAGGCGATGCAAAAGGCCATCCAGCAGAAAAGGAAGGAAGTGGCGGTGAGGAAGAAGCTGTTAGATGAGGGGGCGGCCGTAGCCGTGAAGATGGAGAAGCAGGGGAAGGGGGAATAGCAGCAGGAAACCAAGGACCAAATTGGACTGTTGATTGGAGCTGCACTCTAGGCCGCCCGACAAACCGCTGCACTGAGCAACTTCATTTACCGTTTAGCCGCCCAGCACGATGAGTTCTGAGGTAAGTGGAATAATTACACTACCGCCACCCTGCACACAGTCAACGATAAGACGACACTGGTCCTCATAGGTGGGAGGCGGTCGTTAAAAGCTATGTGCACGGCCAAAAGGTGGCGAGAACAGGCCAGGTTATGTTCGCTGCGTCTTGTCTTGGCAGTGACGCAGCAAGTTACTCTGCGTCTCTCATGGAGAA